ATTAGTCTTTGGGGTTTTAAAAATATATTTATTGTATATAGAAGAGACAGAATGTAGGCATAAGGGTACTGCCAAAGGAAAGTTCAGAGACAGACAGGTGTCATATTTAGTTTTTAATACTTTGAGGTCACTAAACATTTTTAATCTGTGAGCATATTCCACACATTTGGTCCAGCTGCTGTGATGGTTCTGTCCCCCAAGACATGAGCCTATTAGTCAACAATTTTATTATTCCCAGGAAATAAAGCTATTGTGGGCGTTCAGGGTCCCTGAAAGAGAGTGTCCAATCAGCTAAGTAGTAGTTCTGCAGAAAAAGACCTGGGGGTTACAATGGGTGAGAAGCTGGATACGAGTCAACAGTGTGCCCTTGTAGCCAAGAAGGCTAATGGCATATTAATTTGCATTAAGAGGAGCACTGCCAGCAGATCCAGAGATGTCATTATTCCCCTTTATTCGGCTCTGGTGAGGCCACATCTGGAGTATTGTGTCCAGTTCTGGAGCCCCCAGTACAAAAAAGACGTGGACACATTGGAAAGGCTCCAGCGGAGGGCAACCAAAATGATTAGGGGGCTGGAGCATATGACCTATGAGGAGAGGCTGAGGGAGTTGGGTCTGTTTAGTCTGCAGAAGCAAAGAGTGAGGGGGAATTTGATAGCAGCCTTCAACTTCCTGAAGGAAGGTTCCAAAGAGGCTGGAGAAGGCTGTTCTCAGTAGTGACAGATGGCAGAACAAGGAGCAATGGTCTAAAGTTGTGGTGGGAGAGGTCCAGGTTGGATATTAGGAAAAACTATTTGGCTGCGTCTAGACTGGCATGATTTTGCGCAAATGCTTTTAATGGAAAAAGTATTTCCATTAAAAGTATTTGCTCAAGAGAGCATCTATACTGGCATGTGCCTTTGCGCAAAAGATTTGCCTTTGCGCAAAAGCATCCGTGCCAGTGTAGACGCTCTCTTGTGCAAGAAAGCTCCAATGGCCATTTTAGCCATCGGGCTTTCTTGAGCAAGAAATTAACTTGGCTGTCTACACTGGCCCTCTTGAGCAAGAATACTTGCGCAAGAGGGCTTATCCCTGAGCGGGAGCATTGGAGTATTTGCGCAAGAACCACTGATTTTGTACAGTGTAGAAAGGCGGCAAGATTTTGCGCAAAAGCAGTTGCTTTTGCGCAAAATCTTGCCAGTCTAGCTGCAGCCTTTCACTAGGAGAGTGGTGAAGCACTGGAATGGGTTACCTAGGGAAGTAGTGGAGTCTCCATCCCTAGAGGTGTTTAAGTCTCGGCTTGACAAAGCCCTGGCTGGGTTGATTTAGTTGGGATTGGTCCTGCCTAGAGAAGGGCGCTGGACTTGATGACCTTCTGAGGTCTCTTCCAGTTCTATGTATCTCAGGTAGCAAGAACTGATTATATGCATGGCTTTGACAGTCAGGAAAGAGAACTTGAATGGAATTCTGTGTTCTACCAGGAGTCCCTGCAAAGAGTGGTAAATTGTGCTGATAACTTTTATTGCTGACAAAGTGGACTGCACTGTTTATCCAGCGGAGGGCAACCAAAATGATTAGGGGGCTGGAGCATATGACCTATGAGGAGAGGCTGAGGGAGTTGGGTCTGTTTAGTCTGCAGAAGCAAAGAGTGAGGGGGAATTTGATAGCAGCCTTCAACTTCCTGAAGGAAGGTTCCAAAGAGGCTGGAGAAGGCTGTTCTCAGTAGTGACAGATGGCAGAACAAGGAGCAATGGTCTAAAGTTGTGGTGGGAGAGGTCCAGGTTGGATATTAGGAAAAACTATTTGGCTGCGTCTAGACTGGCATGATTTTGCGCAAATGCTTTTAATGGAAAAAGTATTTCCATTAAAAGTATTTGCTCAAGAGAGCATCTATACTGGCATGTGCCTTTGCGCAAAAGATTTGCCTTTGCGCAAAAGCATCCGTGCCAGTGTAGACGCTCTCTTGTGCAAGAAAGCTCCAATGGCCATTTTAGCCATCGGGCTTTCTTGAGCAAGAAATTAACTTGGCTGTCTACACTGGCCCTCTTGAGCAAGAATACTTGCGCAAGAGGGCTTATCCCTGAGCGGGAGCATTGGAGTATTTGCGCAAGAACCACTGATTTTGTACAGTGTAGAAAGGCGGCAAGATTTTGCGCAAAAGCAGTTGCTTTTGCGCAAAATCTTGCCAGTCTAGCTGCAGCCTTTCACTAGGAGAGTGGTGAAGCACTGGAATGGGTTACCTAGGGAAGTAGTGGAGTCTCCATCCCTAGCAGTGTTTAAGTCTCGGCTTGACAAAGCCCTGGCTGGGTTGATTTAGTTGGGATTGGTCCTGCCTAGAGAAGGGCGCTGGACTTGATGACCTTCTGAGGTCTCTTCCAGTTCTATGTATCTCAGGTAGCAAGAACTGATTATATGCATGGCTTTGACAGTCAGGAAAGAGAACTTGAATGGAATTCTGTGTTCTACCAGGAGTCCCTGCAAAGAGTGGTAAATTGTGCTGATAACTTTTATTGCTGACAAAGTGGACTGCACTGTTTATACCAGCTGAAGATCTGTCCTTGGACATTAACTGACCAATCACAACTCTTTATTGCTAGACTGCTCTGTTCTAAATTAGCTAAAGCCTTTTCAGGACATGAGGCGTCATTCTTAGATATAGAGAACTGCAATAGGCAATGAACCTAGATCTTTTCCATCTGCTCCTGTTTCCTCTCATACACGATCTGGGAAGGTAATAACTGGGACAACTCAAACTCCATCCATCCAGGAAGGTTGCTCTTGAACTCAAATAATAATTAAAGAACAGTCACTAGCCTAGCTGTTTGACAGGTTAGGAGACGCTTAAAAGAGATTTTACAGCAACAATTAATATAAATAGGGCTAGTGCCAGAAAACATCAATATTACTTAATGAGAAAATTATGCAAAGTACAGAAAGTACAGAAATAAAAATGTACTGAAAAATCCTCTCTATGGTCAACTTTAATCATAGTGTTAAGGAGCATCATAACAAAAGCTATAATAACAATAGTTTGTTCAGTGGTCACCATGCAAAATCATGCATACTAGATAGGTTTGAAGTGTACACACAGTAATTTGATCTTTCAATCACATTTATCAACAGCAATGCTGAGAATTACAGCCCTGGCTTGCTGTGAGCTACCCACACTTACAGATAGCACAACGATTATCAAAGGTTTGTGACAATACAAATATTTTACCCTGTGACAAATTATTTCATATGTGATACTGTTTTCCAGAAACACAACTCCCTTTGATGTAACTGGACATTAATTGCTTTTTTGCTGATGTATCTCTGTCTTCTGGACTGATAACACCACTAGGAAATCTGATATCTGACAAGTTGACTCAGCCTAATCAGGACAGATCAGCTGTTACCAATGTTGCTACAGGCTGTAATTTCAGGACCTTTACAGAGTTATCACTCGCTTTGAAAGGCAAGAAACTGTAATTCTGCCAACACTAATCTCAAAATGTGTACTCAAAGTGACTGTTATATTTTTTCTTGAGAAAAAGGTAACACTTGTCAAATAAATACCTGAGATAATTGATAATATGAATTAGAAGTCTGTGAGTGATACACTGACAATCAGTCAATCTCAAGAAAAGTAAGAACCTTGCGAGACTCAGAACATTAAGCACAGAGCACAAGCTGTCATGGAGAAGTAGGGGTCTCTCAGAATGGATTGATCAATGTACAATTCACTATTTATGTATTTCTGTGTTGCTTGGTGCTAGGGCAGAGAGAATAATTCACTGCAAACAATTTGTTTGATTAATTTTAGCTCTTTCTCCTGACTGTGGCACATGGTCAATTCGATCACAGTATTGTCAGAAATGTATTCGTTACTCGAATTTATTCACGGATGGACTGACCTTATTCTAAATGTCAGCATCGTTGCTTAGTTGTGATAGGTCAGTTAACATGCAGGGCAGATCTTCAGCTGGTATAAATTAGAATGGCTCCATGATGTTGATGGAGTGGTAACCATTTACACCAGGCAAGGATCTGTTTCTTGGTATTTTTTCTGAGCACTGTGGAGACTCTTCCCATAGGAATACTGAAATTTTCCATAAAATTCCCCTTCTGTGAATATTTTTGCCATCAAAACTGTATCTTTTGAATGTCAGTAGAAAGTGAACATATAGAGAATGCAAATACAGACAAAGCAAATTCATTTAATAATTCCACTGAATATTCGAAGATTTCTTTGCATTATTTGCCAGGTCAACTTGAAACTCACACTTTTATAATCCAGGTATAAAAGTATGGGTTGAATCACTCTAATCTAGCACTCTCTGGTCCAGCAACATCCATGGACTGGCATGATTTTAGTTAGCCAGATGTTCACTTACCATGGCTGTGGCTACATTTCCTACAGTTCCATAAAGTTTGTTTACAAAGACTAGTCCTGACTCTCGGTGTTCTGTGTTGTTATGTAGCTCTAATTTACTCCTAAATGTCTTCCAAAAGCCAGTAAGCAGTGGAAGTGTTGGCAATGCTGCTCGACAATGTTGACCTCCTGTGGTTTGGCAAATTCTCTGGGCTGGCACTGGTCAGGATCTTCATGATGCTGGATTAGAGAGGTTCAAACTGTACAAAGGAATTTCAATACTTAAATTCCTTTCTTTGAGAAAGCTGACAGTACGTTTTGTTACTGGAGCTTGTTGGTAGCTTCATGTGTTGTAGTGATCACATTACCATCACCAGCTTTTAAGTATATACTGCTTTTATAGAATTAGGCATAACATCATAACAAGACACATGTCTCTTACTGTATCGCTTTGGTCCATCTTCCAAACAAAATGAAAGGGTTAAGGTTGCATCATCTTCAAAAAACTCAGTTGCAAAGGCATCCCACCAGAGGTTATCACTGTCCTAAGAAGAGAAAAATCATTCATTTAACATGTGGTAATAAGAAAAAACATCTCTTTTAAAAAAAGAAATCCAAAGGATCTCATTTTTGGTATGGGACCTGTCTGTGTGGAAGAGTGGATGTCCATGTATGTCAGATTAATTTACTCATCTAAGTATTTAGTTGCAATGTAAGGAAATTTCTAATATGTTATTAATAAAACATCATTTATTTTTGTAGTAATAGAGGTTTTCCATTAAGCTAGGCACTATACAAGCATATAAAAGAGCACAGTGTCTTCCATATAAATGAATGTTTACACACATTTTGTTAAATCTTAAAATGCTTTTACAAATCACTTGGTACTTAATATACTGTTCTTATTTTTTTTCGTGTTCTACCTATATGGTATGATTAGTCTTGAAGGTGAGAAGGAACAGTACTTCATTCTGTAATCCTATGTACATGATCATTATTAGCATGCACTTAAATGTAAGTTATTTTGAAGCTTCATATAATAGCTGTTGGACTTAGATGCATTTATTATGACGATGACAATACAGTAGGTTAATTAAATATCGGCTAGTTATTTAAATACACTTGCTCAGATAATTCTTTAGTTTTCAACATGACACAAAAGTTGAAACTAGGATTTTAAAGTCTCCCCTGCTCTCTGAGGGTGTGTCTACACAGCAGGGCTTAACTTGAAATAAGCTACGCAAATTGAACTATGTCAGTTGCGTAGCTTATTTCAAAATAGCTTATTTTGAAACTGGGAGCATCTACACGCATTTATTTAGAAATAGAGCACTCTTCCTCCAACTTCCCTTAGTCCTTGTACAATGAGGGCTACAGGAGTCGGAGTAAGAAGCTCTCCATCTTAACAGTATTTTGATATTATTTTGAAATAACTGCCTTCTGTATAGACGTGGACTAAATTATTTAGAAATAACGATAGTTATTAGAATTTAAAAATTGACACATAGTAAAATATACATCACATAACAAATATAATACTAAAGCTGGGCTGATGATCTTGGAAATTAAACCAAAAAATTTGAAACATGGGTGCATACATTTGGGCATCTAAATCTATATTTAGACACCTAAATAAGTTCTCTGATTTTGAAAGTTCTCAGTTTTCACTGTTCTTCATGAAGTCAAAGGAAACTTTAAAACCATGTGTCTTATTTAAGTGTCTACTGTTCAGTTCAGCAAGCATATGATTAAGGGGAATGTAAAAGAGATCTATAAAACCATGGTGTGGAAAAAGTGACTAGAGTTGTGGTTTTTTACCCTTTTCCACAATACAAAAACCAGGGGCCACTGGATTAAATTATTAAGCAGCTGGTAATACTTTTCACACACAGTACAATTATCCTATGGAATTCATTGCTATAGAATGTTGTGATAGCCAAAATATAACTGGGGTCCAAAAAGAACTAGAGGACAGGTCTGTCTATGGTTATTCATAGAATCATAGAACACTAGAACTGGAAGGGACCTCGAGAGGTCATCAAATTCAGTCCTCTGCCCTCACGGCAGGACCCAGTACCATTTAGACCATCCCTGATAGATGTCTATCTAACCTGCTCTTAAATATTTCCAAAGATGGAGGTTCCACAACCTCCCTAGGCAACTTATTCCATTGTTTAACCACCCTGACAGGAAGTTTTTCCTAATGTCCAACTTAAACCTCCCTTGCTGCAGTTTAATTCCACTGCTTCTTGTCCTATCCACAGACACTAAGGAGAACAATTTTTCTCCCTCCTCCTTGTGACACCCTTTTAGATATCAGAACCAAGATGGTCAGGGATACAAGCCCATACCAGCGGAGATCCTAAATCTAAATCCCAAAGCTGAAAGTGTTGGATCCCTCCAGAATTTCCTATGTCTATGCACTCTCCTTGAAGCTCTGGGACTAGTCACTGCAGAAGACAGGATCCTAGGTTAAATGGATCCAGTATGGCGGTTAAGTTCAGTCTCCATTCACCTTGGCTTCTCTGCTGAAATGTCCATCAAGGATGCCAAATAACATTTCTTGTTTACAGCATAACTGTAGCCTTTCCTAATCCCATCCATACAGTAACACACTCTAGTATAAATTAAGCACATTCTTTTAATATGCTTTGGACAAAAAAAAAGTAGGGGAAAGAAAATGATTTGTGGTTTAATAAACACAAATGAAAGAAAATCTGGTTAGGCAGCTTGTTCCAAAAATGTGGAGTGCATGTCTTCAACATGGGTGGAGATACTGAGGTACTGAGATTTAAATGACTTGTTGAACCTCACAAAGTGATTTGGTGGCAAAGCTGGTAATATAAAATCAGAAATTCCAATCTAAAACAATCGTGCCAGCAATCTACCGGTGACTAAACGCAATTTGGTGAGCTATGAGCAGACTTTATATGTCCTCAAAATATATATCATAGGCAGCAAGCGCTTATCACCCTGATCTAAATAAACAAAACCTGGCATAAGCTTTTGGGGACCGGAATCCACTTCATTGGATGCATCCTGGATTCCAGACCATGGAAGCTGTGCCCAAATAAATTTGTAGTCTTTAAGGTGCCACAGGACTCCTCGTTGATTTTGCTGAACGAGACTAATACGGCTATTCCTCTGAAACTAATACTTATGAGAAAATTCTAATTTAAGTAAACTATGCATATACCATATTAATCATACAGACACACAAATTGATAAATAACTACCTGGTCTTTTTAGACACTCCTTCTCATGCTTATCCTGAGAACCCGGTCTAGGCTTTGTTCTCAATTGTGTTTCTACAGCTCCTTGTTGTTGAGATTTAATAAAGTAATAAGAGCACTGCATAGCACTGTAGTTGTTGTCATGATAATACAAGAGCTTTCTTGGCTAGCTGCCAGCCTTCCTTCTTCTCTCTTTCT